TACACTTCCTAGACCATGCAGTCTTCAAAATAAAAATTGTAACCTTTGGTAATCAACTACATCTTCCACATACATAGAAATTTTTGAAACTTTATTAAAAAAAAACCTAAACCATAATTCACCATAGACACTTTTTGACAAAAATGAAAAATTACCACTTTGTTACCCAATGAGAAGTGTTCTAATATAGACAATGGGTCGTGTCTCATATTATTTGTTATAGTTTTATTATTCATTATTTTCACTTGACTTGTATAAATAATTTTGTTCGAAGAACATTTATATGCAGTTGTACTTCGCAGCACTTCACTTGCAATTTGCAATTTCTAGTTCTACAATTATCATTTCAAAATAACATGTCTTGGTGAAAAGGGAGGCTTCTATGCCTCCTCTGGGTTTATAGCCTCTCTACCAAACACTGATTCATTCATTTACTGTATCATAGATATATATATTTTTAAATATCTATTTGTATACTTCTTTACATAAAGAGAGTTTGAGTATGTGTAGATATATATTTTAATTATGTAAAATGCTTATCGTAGTCGAACAGTAATTGGAAGGTTTTGGGCTCGGATCCGATAGGGAATAATGTTTATCTCAAATATTATTAAATGTATTTATTACCTGTGGAGTTGTATCTCCATACCTAAATTATCCTCATGTTACTTAGGATTATTTATTGCGTACTTCGCAATACATTGTAGAAAAATTATATTGGTAGGAAAAATTATATTGACATACCTCTTTGAAAACAAATTGTGCAAAATATGATGGTTGAAATAAAGGTGGGATGCACCCACGAAAGACAAAAAAAAAACTCGATGCCTATCAAGTAATTAATAAAAATTCGCCATTATTCATCAAATATCCGTGGCTTCCCCCTAGGCGGCCCCCTATTCCCACCCAAATGAGACTCGATTCGCTCCACTAGTCCCCCCCCCACCGTCGGGACCTTTAGCCCCTCTGTCGGGCAGGTCCTGGCGCCACCACTGTTCACATGAGCATCTGTACTTGACTCCATCACATCGCATGAAAGTTTACTTGGCTGCTCTTCAGCTTGCCACATTGTCAAATTACAGTATATAAAAATTATCCAGAATGTAAATGAAAGTTACTATGAATCTTTTATGTTTAATAATAAATTAAATTTACTAAGTGTGTAAAACAGTAGAAACTTTGTTTGATCTGTATTTCATTGAAAGTTTATTACTCCAAGCAAGAAAGTATAAAAATAATTTTTATACCTCCTTGCTCCAATACAGGAGCGTTTCATAAAGCTAAAATGAAAAGAATTAGAAAACACAAGAACCTATAAAACCAGAGTGATTTGAGAATTACGATAGCCTTTAAACATAGTAAATGCTGGCTGATTTTAATGGGAGATCCGACATTTGAAAATAATAACTTCGTTTCAAATTAGCTATTCCAGTAAATGTTTTGATTGAATTTCAAGGTTTTTTTTTTTCTTACAACAAATTTCGTTTTTTTGATAAATGATGATACTTTAATGAATGGAATCAAGATGAAAATTATCAATTCCTTGGTTTTAATTTTATTAAAACAAAATCAAGAAATTGAACAATTTTAAAAGAAAAATGTATAAATAATTTGCTATTTCTCCATAGGTATTTAGTACCTCCGTTGCAAATGCATTTGAAGCTCAAGGGAGATCAGACACTCAATCAACGCAGAAGTTCGTTCGCTTTATTGACCAATTCTTCGATTGTTTGAATGTTAAATTCAAGAATTCAAAAGAACAAGATGATCAAACATGCTTTGAAACCTTACAGCACAGTAGATGTTTGGAGTTTTGAAGTAAGCATATTTTGATTCTATAACCTGTGCCCATTAGTTTGTTTGGAAGAATATGATTACATGAATGTGCTGCATATTGACTGAATAGATAATATTCAGTGCAATCTATTTTCAAATACTTTCATTTTACTTGCAATAAAGTACTTGATGTTTACATACTGTACTTACGACCATTGTGGGCTTGTTTGTACTCGATGATCTCTGAATTGATGGTCCAATTTCTTAATTCTTTAATACATTAAATATTATATATTGCAATACTGTACTTCAGTACTTATTTTTTAACCAATAATTTTGAAATCTTGTTCCAGTGGCTTGAAGGAGAATATTTTATTGTTCTTTGATGAGTGGGAAGAACAAGTAGAAGGTTTAGACAGTTTTACACCTTCAATGAAGAAGAAAATGTGAATCTCTCGTCAGTGGCATCCGTATCTCAGGTAAGTACAAAAGGTATATGATTGAATAGTTTCATCTGGTTTTGTAACAGTATATTCCAATTATTTTTAAACAAATAAACCAATACTTAAAATGAAAGCTAGCATAAGTGAACATCAACTATTGGTTTATTTGTTTTGAAATAATTAGTGTTAAGTACTAATTTACTGTTAATCATCGTTAATTTCGTTTTTTATAGACCTTTTTAGAGAGCCACTAGACATTAATTTTACTTTTTTGGCAGTCCTGTCATATTGGTGTATAATTTTTTTATGTTTTCTTGTTTGTGTCTGGATATTTTAATACATTTTTGATGAAGAAGTAATGAATGTATGTGAAAAACAAAAAGGTTATGATAGGTTGATGAAATATTTACAGTCAAACATATTTGTTTATATTTTTTAGTGCATTCATTACTAAGTACAACTGTTGCAAAATACAGTTTAGAATGAGCATACATTTATTCAAATTAATAAATTAAAAAAAGAAATGAAAATGATACCAAGAAAAAAAAAAAGGCAGTAGTTAATGTACAAGTTCCAAATTTTAGTTCATTAAAATAGCTATTATGACTATGTATTAGACTGATATCTACTGCCAAAAACTTAACTAACCAAGACTGTGCTTGGGCAACATATTATTTTGTCTTATTTTTAACTCTAAATTTGTAGTCAAAATATACAATGCTTGTACTGTATTGTACAAATCTCATACTTAATAAAAAAAAATATAACTCTTCAATTTAGAGTGTTAATGTTATTGTAATTTAGCTCAATCCCTTTAGAAGCACTTTTTCTCCCTGCTGAGATGCAGCATTGTTTTTTTTCTTTATATCTAAGTAGACCTTTAAGAATGCCTTGCTTCTTATTTTAATCCAGTATAGAAATATTCTACGCTGCAGTTGAGTAGAAAGATTTTCTGATAGTTCTCCATTTATTACGGCACACCAACATCGATTAATTTTCTAGTTTTAGTGAAATTTTCCTAATAGGAGATTGTTTAAATTTACTCCACGAAGTTCTGCAAGGGTCTTGCTGGAGACATGTGTCTGGTGCTCCACCTCTAACTCTCTGAAGAAGAGAAGAGTTTGTCACTAACAAGGAATAAACCTCCTCTGTTTTGTCTATCAGTCCATTCTTTTGTGTAGAGGAGAAAAGAAGCACAGATATGTCACCCTCTCCTCGCCATTTTTTTAGAAGTTCACAGAATTTTTCAGCAGCAGCATTACTTTTCAGCTTTGAGTAATGTTTTATTAAAGCATGGTGGAATGTATCCTGCTGCGTATCTTAAAACCTGTTCCTCATCCTTGGTCTGCGTTAAGCTACTTGGCTCAACAGAGTCATCAGTTGCATTTATCAGGTGATTTTCCCGCATTAGTACAGCCATCACATCTAAAAGTAGTTCGTAAAACAATGCTGGCGGGAATTGCATTAAACTCAATGTTTGAGCCTGCCTCTAAGGAATATCTGCCAAGAATCTGTTAATTTAATCTTGTAAAGATGAAATGAGCGCCATATTTCATTTACATCCATACAACAGTTCATTTACTGTACACTTGCTAAATTGCTCAAACCCAGATTGGTCATTTAATAATAAAATTTGTCTAATAAATGTATCTAGCTGCAACGGCATTGGGATAATTTTTCTATAGACAGCTTTCTCTGGTATTGCTTGCAAGGCAGCTTGAACATATTATACAGCGTTTCCTTCTGCCATTTCCTTTGTAAAGTGTGATGATGGTCTTAAAACTAAAAGAAAAATAGCAAAATTGGCATTATACACAATATATATTTCTTGATGCAGTACTATACCTTGGCTATTTATATGTACTTACAGGCTATCTCTTATATTCAGAACTGCTTATGTTTTAAGTTGAGAGCTTACTGTAAATGTTTTTTACATCCTTTTTACAGTATTTATATTACAGTATAACCTTGTACAGAATTAGTATTATCGCCTACTGATGAATGTGTATTCGTGTATTTTAGAAATTCTCTTGTTACAATAAAGGAGGTATTATTCATGCACCTTAGTTACTGTACATGATCAAGTGTTAAATCTGTAGCATAATTAATAGTATGAGCCTCATTTCAAACATACGGTAATATTTGATACATTGTTTTGATCATTGTAAAGTTTGTTTTGTTGCATTTAAGTGTAGTGAATACATTTGTTTGTTTTTTTATACACAGTACAGTGCAGTACTTGATTGATAAGAAACCTGTGGATTTTATTTTGTCAAAAGGATTTTATTTTATACTTTTTTTACCTTTAGCTTTTGATTTCCTCTTCTGTTTTTCTTTCTGTGTTTTTTCCTGCTCTTTTCTTTTATCATTTTCATCTGTTGCTGATGACATGGGCTTGTTGTTGACCATTTTAGTTTTACTGACGTCTATTTATTTTTACAAAGAAAAGATAAGATAATAGCAGAAGTAAATTCCTTGGTAAATAAAAAATGTAAAATACAACCAGTAAGAGTAACTTCTATAACCTGTTCAACTTGTGTATTCAATAGTTATAGTATAGTATATTTTATAGTGTTTGTCTACTCAATCGTATTATGATAAATATTACATGGTGTCAGAAGTCTCGAACTTAAAGACATTGGATTTACTATTTCTAAATTTTATTTGGATTCAAACAAGCAAGGAAAATGGAGGCAGTAACCAAAGGCCCAAACATGGACTGTACACAGGATACTGGACTTCACCACAGATTTCGCTTATTGAAAAAAGAAGTACAACTCATCCTAAAAGGACCACTGAAAAAAAAGAAGACGCGGCAACTAAAGCTACGTATATTCAGCTCTGGTCTGGTCCGTCAGGTAGGCAGTTGATTAATGCTCTAATCCAACAAACGAACAATTAGAATCGGAAGATTATATTTTGACAACCTCTGAAGACTATTGTAAGCCTAGGTCAAACAAACTGGCAGCAGCTTATGAATATAAATATCTAAAACAGGGCAGTTTGAGTCTCAAAGATTTCATCACTAAATCACGATTGATAGTGCAACAACGTAGCTTTCCTGCTGATACACAGGACTGAATGTTAACAGACGCTATAGTAATAGGAATTAACAGTGAGGTAGCGTGAAAAAAATGCATAAAACAAAGGGTCAAAATTATCGCTAGAAAAAGTGATTGATATTGCCTAATCAGAGGACTTAACCAAGAGACAGGTCTCAATGATGAGGTCAGGTGTCGACAATAGTAGTACCAATACCGATGTTCACGCAATGCATACACGCTTGACACAGCCTCAAACTAAGAGGAAGTCTTGTTGTTGTTGTGGTTAAACGCCATCACATCCCAAGAAAGATTGTCCGGAAAAAAACGCTAAGTGCCATAAATGTGGAAAGCTTGGACATTATGGGGAAGTCTGCTAGTCAAACGCGACAAAGTGCACGAAATATCCACCTCTAATAATGAGGAATAACTTCCACATGTATTTTTTAAGCACATAACAGGTGGCTGTTAATCGCCTGAATAAGGCCCCATAATTTTTTTTTATTAGTTTATCACCCTACCAAAGAATAAAAGCTGATAAGGGAGGGAGGATTTTTTTTTTTTTTTTGCTAACCCCGCCCCCATTTTACCAATGTTCACAAGTAAATCAATGGTTAGGGACACATTTCATTTTCATTTCATTTACTTCGCCTTTTTTTATCATAACAATACAGTAAAATATTCAGAAAATTCGAGAAGGTAATCCATGTTTCCCCCAAGAGCCGGCAGGATTACCAAAAAGTAAAATAAATTACTGTCTGAGTGGCTCTCCAAGCAATGGGGAAAACATGGACTAGCAGTATAAATACATTATAAAAAATATATAAATATATATAAGTGTGAAAATACAAAAATAATTTACTAATATAATAATAATAAGCAAGGTGCTTTTCCGGTCCGCTAGTTAAACATGATCTATAGTTAAAATTACCTGATCATGCGTAAAGAGAAGCCTAGATGACTGAGATATATACAGATCGTTCCCACTAAGGACACCGTATTAGAAACCTTTTAATTCATTTATAATTTTGAATAGCTCATTTAAAACGATCAAATAAGTTATTAAATTCCAACCAGAAACTGATTTTGGCCCCATTAAAAAAAAATATTAGTTTATCACCCTATCAAAGAATAAAAACTGATGTTCACAAGTACAATCAATGGTTAGGGACACATATATAAAAATTTATAAGAATGGAATCAAATTTATATTTTAAAAAGATGTTTTTGTTGTAGCAGTAAACATATTTGCACGAAACCATGACCTTTTCAAGTGAAAAAAGATGGAAAAAGGACCGTTTCAAGTAAAAATATATGTTGATTGAAAAAAAAAAGATATCAGATTTCCCCCAAAAGTGATGAGGGAGCGGGTGATAAACTAATAATTTTTTTATGGGGCCTAATCCAATTTCGGATCACATTCGACCGTTGTGGTTATCGAAAATGCGAGCAGCCTAACAACATAATTACTACAGATTGTGAGGTTGACTCTGGAGCAGGATGCAACGTTGTACCACTTTATAAATTTTGTACAATATTGAAGTCTAGCATGAAAAGCTTGAACAAACCTACAGTTCAAATAAATTCATACGGTGACACACCAGTAAAGAACTTAGGATCCTGTCCAATGATGTTGAATGAAGGCAACAAAAAGCCGTTGAAAGCTACTTTTCAAGTAACTGACACAAAAGGACATATTATCCTTGGAAGAGAAACCGCTCACGCTCATGGATATGTCGCTTTCCCAAAGGTCAACCCACCTACAAGTGGAACCCAAGTGCTGGCAATAGACACTGTAAGTAGTCAATCGTTTAATATTAAGCAACCCATCAAACCGCAAATCAAAACTATCAATGATGCCACCATCGAACTTAATGGTAAACGACATAAACAGCCAATTTCCAAAGAATACATCCTGAATTAATACAGTGATGTATTTGAAGGAATAGGTACATTGCCAGGAAAGCCTTATCATATCAACTTAAAACCAAACTACACACCAGTC